GGGGGGGGGGGGGGGGATCACAGCGGTGGCAGCGACGATGAGGGTCACTACAAGGTGGGTGATGTGTAGCTGCTTCCCCTTCGGTGGAGCCCAATGATCGGTGTCTCATCCCTCTCCCCCCCTTTTTCCCCCGGCACCTCTGTACGGACATCGCCTTGATGGAATGTGCCATGTTTTCTCCGTTACAAGTTCATGTGTGATCGTTTTCCAACTCTCCTCACCGGCAGCTATGATATCCTACTCCCGTCGGTGTTAGTTTGTCTTGAAGACCCCTCCTCAAGACGCCAACATGCCTGACGATAGTCCAATAATGGATGCGGAAACATCGAAGAAGACGGGTCCCTCTTCATGTTTGAAAATTGTTGGCAGGCGTACGTGTGTGATGTGAACAACAGCCATGTTTGCCCGGCCCCCCACGCACGGCCCACAAATCAGCCCCGTGAAACCAATGCGCTGGTGTAGCAGTCACCTGCTCATCACGACCACCGCTGCGGCGGTTTCTTGTGGCGTGGAGATGAGATGCCGTTTCCCACAGGGCAGGCTAGCTATCACTTACGGGTAATAGCCGTGGACTCTGTATTTGTACCACATGAGAGCGGACGGAGTCGCTGCTGGTTCAGAGCAGATCGCATGACTTTTGCGTTGACCGCTAATTCACCGTCGACCTTAGTAAACAAACAGTAAATAAGTAAGACAGAGATAAGGGAAAAGGGCTCACGATGTCGTGCGGGAGAAGAAATGAAAATCAACCACGTTTATTGTATTTGATGTGTGCTTAGGATGTGACCACGGAAGGTGTTCGCGATAGGTGTTGAGGGGAGACCGGAACAGTTTTAATGCGACGCCGACAACGACCACAACAACGTTTCTATTGCAGCATGAATGGACCACCACCAACAACGTTTCTAAAATGAACGGAAGGTGACCAACGTTTCTAGATGGAAGCCACCACCACCATCGCAACCAGCAACAACAACGTTTCGAGAATAGATTTGAAAAGGCCAACGACAACGTTTCTGCATGCATGGAAGCCACACCACCTACAACCAACACGGCCACGTTGCTATTGTAGAGTGAATCGGAGGACAATCAACAAAAACCACCACGTTTCTAGGACCAACGATGTTCGCCGCGGTTTTGTTCTGGCAGGGCAAGAAGGGCGACCGACTGGGGGGCCGGTACGAGATTATCGGAGACGTGGGTTTGGGTACCTTCGGCCGTGTAGTCGAGTGCTGGTGCTTGAAGAGACACCGACATGTCGCCGTCAAGGTGGTCCGAAAGGTGAGATCCTTGCTGTGCTACTGCTGCTGCTGATGTCTCTTTGCGTGGGTGATGAGGTACCTGGAGACAGTCAGTCCCCTGCACCCGGAATCATACATTCTCATCATCTCCTGCATGCTGATTGTCCCCGTTTTTTTTCTGGAGTATGTTACAGTTTTTTTGCTTACAAAATACAACGAGTTGTTCATCTCTTCCACAGATAATCCACACGTAAAGGAGTCCGACATGGATCAACAAATGAATTGATCCACAGCGCGTTCATGTTTTTAGACAATACACGATCAAGTAAAGGCTGCCCTTTCGAGATACAACCATAGTCGAAGGGATGTGTTTTTTACGTCTTTTTTGTGTGTTTGTTTCGATTTGTTTCACACAGGTCGCCAAGTACCACGAATCTGCCCTTATCGAGGCACAGATCCTGCGCGACGTCAACTTCCGCGAGCGGAGCACGCGAAGGAACACGATCGACACTTCGCTCTGCGTCGAGATGTTTGCGCAGTTCGAGCACCAGGTGCGACCTGTGGATGGCAGAAGGGTTGTAGTACCTCAGAAAGTTTGCGCAGTAGTTATGTAGTTCTACATGAACGCACGCGGGGTGAATGGTAGATGGTATGGTAGTTCGTAACAAGGGTCAGTACGTCAGCGCAGAGCAGCAGCAGCAGCAGTACTACATGAACGCACGCGGGGTGAATGGTAGATGGTATGGTAGTTCGTAACAAGGGTCAGTACGTCAGCGCAGAGCAGCAGCAGCAGCAGTACTACATGAATGCACACGACGTGAATGTAAACGGAGAAAGTTCAGTACGCTAGTAAATTGCACAGCGGCAGTACTTTCACGGTGAATGGTAAAATGGTGTGGTAAATTGGACGAGGTCAGTATGTTTAAGTGTCACGCAGAGTAGCAGCAGTAGCAGCAAGCACTCAAATGCACACAGAACAGCTGTTAGCTTTTTTTTTTTTTCTCTCATTTTATTGCGGCCTATTTTCGGAGCGCTTGTGTTCTGTCTGTCCGTCCGTCCGTCCGTCTGCCTGTCTCTTATCTCTCCTCGTGCATGTTCCACTGTGGTGGTGTCGCCCGCTTCCACCAAAAACCAAATCTGTACGTTTTTGTTGGTGCCTACGTCGTGATGCACGCTCGTCCCCCCGTCCCCCCCCTAGGGCCACTGCTGTCTAGTGTTCCGAGTGCCTGGGACGGTCTCTGTACGACTTCCTGAAGAAGAACGACTACAGGGGTTTCCCCATCGATGTGCTGCGGAGTATATCCCGGGAACTGCTCCAGGTGAGCCCCCCCCCCCCCCCCCTCGATGTTTCATCCTCGTGAAAAGTTGGGGAAAAACCGGGATAAATTTTTTTGCTTTTTTCCGAAGTTTTAAGGATGGGAGGGCTTTGGGTTAAAGAAATTGGGATGGGTTTTATTTAGTAAATTCCCCCCCTTTTTGGGTTATTCTTTTTTAAAGTAAATAGGCTGGGGGGGGGAAAAACCGGGATATTGTTTCCTTCCGGGATTTTTAGGATGGGTTAAAGAATGGGGGATGGGTTTTAATGAGTACCCCCCTTTTTTTTATGGAAACTCCGGGGGAATATAAAAAAAAAACACAAAACGTTTTGTTTTAAAATTAAAACGTTTTGTTTTTAAATATTCAAAAATGAACCCCGGAAAAAAGCGGCAACCTGTTTTGATTGGGGAGTGAAATTATTAACGGGAAATTTTTTTTTATTCCCGGAAAAAAAAAAAAAATTCTACGTTTGTTTTTT